TCTCATTTCTCACCCAAAGAGTTCTTCTCACTTGAACCTTACCCTATATATATATATATATATATATATATATATATATATATATATATATATATATATATATATATATATATATATATATGGCTTTTCCTAATTAACCCCCAACCCTCCCCCTCACCCCCAAATCACCTCAAATGGCCCAAAATATCCAGCCCAACCCAAAAACTTAAAAAATATTGAAAAAAACGAAAAGAAAAAAAAATAAATTGGCCCGGACCATGCCCGAACCAGCCGGGCCGGTTCACCTTTTGAGGGGCCCGAGCCCGGCCTGGAACCCCAACGTGTCGGGCCTAACCGGACCGGTCCCTGGCCGCTCCGGCGGTTCGGGCCGGTTCAAACAGTGACTGGGTCGGGCCGGTTCCGGGGCGGGCCTCCCGGCCCGAGTCCACCCCTATACGTTCCATTATAAATTTATAATTTTCTCACATTCTCCTTCTCATCCATCTCATAAAATTTGTCTCACATCAGTAATATTTGTATGATTCTAATTCATTTTTATTGTATTCTCATTTTGTCAATTCAATAATAATCATATACCTTTCTTTTAAGAAAACATCACTACTTTCGGAGTATTTGACATTCACAATGTAAGGTGTTAGAGACATTTCCTTAATTTATTTTTGGAAACACGTTTCTTAATTTATTTTAGGAAACACATCCTAGTTGCCTTGGGGTTAGGATTTACTTCTTTATAAATACAATCTCTCTCCGTTGTAATCATTGTGCGTGGATCCGAAAATAGCAATAATATTCTTGCCTTGGTAGCACCCCCAGACGTAGTCATTCGTGGTGAACTGGGTTACCAAATTTCGTGTGTTCTTCGTTATTGTTTTATTTCGTGTGCGTAAATTAAATTCGTAACACACAATCGTCTATCCATTACCATTAGTACATTAAGGCATTGTTTTCCATTACCTATCTGGCACCTTGAATTGTAGTCTATGTTATGCAAAATTAAGTTGTCTCACATTTGCTTAGATGTTGGGTTCGACTCTAAAATAGAAATAGATCAGTTCTTGTATCGGTTTATTTTATTACTACTCCGTATTATTCTTTTTTCTAAAAGAAGCTAAATACCGACTTTATACTAATTTGAGAGCTGGATCGAATTGAACAACCTGGATAACGAGAGCCAGAATAGGTTAAAACATTATAGTTGCTCACAAGATATTTTTATTGTATTTGGCCGAACATTTGTACGTTTAGAAGGCACAAGGATACAATATAGTTTTTTTGATAAACAAATAGGGATTAGGGAGTAACTAATTATGATAGCAAAGAAACAGGTGAATGGTTTATCTAAGGTTACAATGGGATCAAACATAGAACAAAAAAGATCACATAAATCCTTCCGGATTGCTAATCCCGCAATAACGTAATCTATCTCATTGACTTATTAACTACGAATGTTTTCTTTTGGACTGAAATTTGCTGGTCTGATCAGATCTGGTCTGAGACTGAAAAGAGCTCAAAAGAAAACGTCCTACGTACACAAGTTACAATGTATAGAAAAAACATTAATAGATTAACTGAAAGGAGCAGTTCTAACATATGCGGCCGGATACAATCACCATTATTCTTCATTGCAGCAATATAATGAGAAATAGCTTGTACATCACCTCCCTTATTATGAATTTATGACCCAAATAATTTATACCCTGTAATGCGTCTTTGGTTCACTCCACTTCTATTTAACGGTGGATCTGATTATCTAAGAAAATAGAGTTTTTGGGAATTTGGGATTGATGATCAATAAATTAGTTAATGGTTATGATGAACACTATTTTTTTATTATAAGAGAATTTATATTTACTTAATAAGAAACGCCATTAAAACAAAAACATGACATCGAAAATGCTGGCGTAATTACTCGAAATGATCTCCAAAAAAGGCATCAGTAATTCAAGATACGTTAGATGCTGAACTAAAATTTATTTCTGGCGTGCAAATTTTTTTTCAACAATATATTGTTGTTGGGTGTGTTTCGAAAAACAAAGAAAAATAATTAATAGAAATTAATTAAATAAAATGACTAAATGAAAACAGAAAATAGATGAAGCAAGAATAGCCAAAGCTCGTGCTACGCACGATTTTCTTAAAACGTATTCGTTGCCTCCCGGGGTGTCAGGAGCGTTGCAATGATCGTTTCCCAGGATATGATGACTACGAGCTATTCGTTGAGAACTCAACCGAATAGTTCCAACGAACGAGAACAATAGTATGAACACTAAGGAATGTTTTCAGAAGCTAGAGATGTTTTTCAGAGGTGCAAAATGTGCATGGAGTGTATGAATTCGTTTCTGTTGCAAAGCACCTACTAGCCAATTTATAGGGGTGGATTTTGGTGTGTTAATGGCTGTGAACGTTGGACATCAATGTCCCAAACGTTGGGCATTGATTCCCGCCAAAAAACTGTCCATTACAGCTGCATTAATCCATATGGACGTTGGACATTATGACATATGGACGTTGGGTGAGCTGGAGAAAAAAATAGGAACGTAACGGAAGAACAAAATTAACGTTATCTTTAGAAGATAGGATTTTCAGACGGCATTCGTGTCCGCAACTCGCCCGCGCACGCAAGTTGCGCGTTTTGTTCTCTGGTTTCGAGATTTGATTCGCACCCCCCTGCGCGCGTGGAGAGAGCCTTTACCCTAAGGAATCTAATCTTCTTAAGGGGGGTTTCCCTTTATAAACTGTCCAGCCAAAAAACTGTCCATTACAGCTGCATTAAGCCATATGAACGTTGGACATTATGACATATGGACGTTGGGTGAGCTGGAGAAAAAATAGGAACGTAACAGAAGAACAAAATTAATGTTATCTTTAGAAGATAGGATTTTCAGACGGCATTCGTGTCCGCAGCTCACCCGCGCACGCAATTCAAGTCGTGCTTTTTGTTCTCCGGTTTCGGGATTTGATTCGCATCCCCCTGCGCGCGTGGAGAGAGCCTTTGCCCTAATGAATCTAATCTTCTTAAGGGGGGTTTCCCTTTATAAAGGGTTCAAATTCCCTTGGGTTTTCCGGTGTGGGAAAAAACCACACTAGAAACCCACCTTTCCTAGTTTTTATTCATTTCAACGAGTGAACTTCGAAAATCAATTTCTCATTCACCCGTTATCCGTTTTAAGCGTACCATATATCGAATTGTATCCCTACCCAAGGACAATCCAAAACCATTTTGACCCGGTCCAAATCGGAAGTGGACCCCACTCAAAAAATTACACCAAAATGACCATCCATTTAATGCAGTTTTAACACATTTTTTCCAACATATACGTATACAACACGGAACGGGTAAGACTGTAAGAGAACAACCTGAACGTACGTATATAGGGAAATTTGCAAATTTTATCGTGTAACCAATTATATTTGAGATTTGAGTTATTTCCCCCTGAAAAGTACACTTTCGAACAAAAGTAAATACCAGGAAAATTACTATGAGGGTGTTTGACAATTGGCTGTTAGCTGTTGACTAGTTGCATTAGCTGATTGATAACAGCGGATTCATCTAATTCTTTTGATTGGCTGATAAAGTTTGCAGTTTGCAAAATGGTGTTTGGTTGAATAGTTGTTTACAATCGACTGATAACTTGTTAAATGACTTTTAAGGACATCAATTAATTTTTTATTGGGTCGTTTTTTTTTTTAGAAAAATGCATCAAACTACTATATATACGTAATAATTATACTTCGTATTAAACATGGCCATCTCATGCTTATCAATTCAATCTTCTGGCCGTCTTCATCCTTTACTTATTTTCTATTGTTTTCCATTGGTACTTTGGTAGTACCTTCGAGGTGACTCAAATGTCTTATAGTTGCTTATAATCTGGTTAAACCATCCCTTGCTTCTTAAAATCAGTAGGCAACATTAGCCAAAAAGCCATATGGGAGTGCAGCGATACCTAAACTTGAAGGAGCAGAAAATGTAGGAGAATTGAAGGCTGCTTGCGCTCAGATTTTCTTCTCTCTCTCTCAGAGGAGCCAGATACAATAAAAAGCCAATTGAATAGGTAACCAAACACTTTCATTAACTGATTGATTTGGTCAAAAAGCCAAATATAGTAAAACAATTCATCACCAAGATTATAAATGGTAATAATCGATAATCATTACAAAAGCTACTTGCACAAGTGTTTTATTTAAGGCTGCGCTACGTCGGTTGGATTGCATAAATAAATATACAATGAGCGATATTTGTTACTTGTAATTATCCCGCCTCAACTGCTCCTAACATCTACCAAAGCTTGCAATATATGGCGATGACTTGCTTTTACCTAACAGAGTTTTGTTAAAGGCTACTCCGTATTTTACTTCAACATATATACAACCTCCGTCTTATACTTTAATTAGTTCGTATGCTATATATAGTATGTCATTTAAAGTACGGAGTATAAGGTATGTCACGTGTATGATAGATGTCCCATGGTCTATATGATATTTCTGTGCAAATAACTAGAGCATAGTAAGCCACACCAAACCTAAAATCAAGAGAAGAGAATATGTTCCTACTTCCTAGTTCATTAGCTAGGCTGCGGGAGTATATTGCTAAATTTCCCTCGGCAATGCATGCAATTAGATCCACCTTAATGTTAAACACTTCAACTTTAACTCTTTTTAGGTGTAGTGGATATATTTTATAAGGGGTTATTTCAGTTTGCACTCCATTTTATTGCCCAAATTAGACTTTGCACACCGTTATTAAAAAAAATTGTATTTGCACCCAACCTTGTATGAAAAGACAAAAATGCCCCTCGACCAGGAATATGTTAAAAGCCAACATAATTGTCAATGGAGGGACATTCTTATCTTTTCATACAGGTTTAGGGGTGCAAATGCAATTTTTTTTAATAACGGGGTTCAAAGTCTAATTTGTACAATAAGATGAGTGGGAACTCAAATTACCCCATTTTATAACTATCTTTCCCTTACAATGTTGTTCTATTTATACGGAGTATTGCTAACTCAACGCTTCATAAATCTCTTCTAATTTGTATACGAAATATTTAGGCATTCAATTCGGATGTTGTCAGTTTTGAGGGATTGATATGGATCAATGGATCATGGTGTTTTTCAAAGATGCATATCTAGTCGTCGTCTTTGTCATCATCATCAAATCAAAGGTATAAAACGAGATTGAAATTAGAAGAATTGTTCATTTAGCCAGTAACTTTTATCTATGTTCACTATTAAGAGACCGTTTGACAACACTGTGTTTCGCCTTATCAGGCTTATCAACTAACTTTTCACCAAATACGTAATTTTTGCTTTCGAGTGCTGAATTGTGTAATAAGCACAAAAAGTAAGGTCGAAGTTACTTTTCTGGCTGTATTGGCTGAAGTTACGGTAGATGATTATTTTAGCTATTTTTACATATATTTTTTCTTTAATTTATTAGTAAAATATACTCCGTATTTTAAAAATATTTTTTTCTTAAATCAACAGAATCAGCCAGTGCAGCCACTTCAGCCATAACTTCATAAATTCCAGTAGAATCAGCCAAATCAACCGATTTTCGTGCTACCAAATGGACTCTTAGTTCCATAATTTTATTTTCAATTATATCTTGCAACTAATAAGTATATCTATATTAAGAACTTTCTTTTAACTGATTTTAAGAATATACAATTTTGATAAAAGTTAACCTAAAATACCGACACAGACAAGGAATTTTTGTTATGGAAACAGTGAACACATGAACAAAATTATTTATACAAATTTTAAATTCCCATTTAATTTTAGCCAAATTTTGAAACGGTTGGTCCTGTTTATGATTCAATAATGTACAACTTACTTCGTATTAGGTTATGGTCATCCTCTCATATGTCTTATCGAGTCGAGACGTGGGGGGCCTCGAAGTTGGGGATTCAACCTTTTGGAACAAGGTTATGGTCACTCGATAACGTCACTCGGGTCACTGATTTATTTACCGTTGGCCAGTAGCTCATGACAACCGGCACCATTAGATAAAAAATACCACGGCCGTATCATTTATTACTAGTTTATGGTAGTGAACTGAAGGATTGTTCGAGCCTTCCAGGTGCGGTGGTCAGTAGCCGGAGTCAAATAGATAATATCAATCCAGTTAAATCAAATTTTGATAGTTGTAAAATAAACGGACAAAATTTAAACGGATTAGACCAAAAAAATCATTCGAATTTAAACATTCTTAAATGATGGCATTTTATCCCACTTCCAAGTTTCCTTGTACTTATTAATTAATTTATTAGAGTATCATACGAGGAAAATTCCTTTTTTACATGTCGGTTGTACACTTCTTTGTACAAAATACAAATCTTTTGATTTTTCTTAAAGTTACTCGTGCACCGCGTAAGAACAGACATGAACATGCCTTGGTGTGTACTACACCAAACACAATTGATTATACATTACCCAAAACGGGGGTTTAAAAATTGTGATTACATCCACTCCAAAAACAAAGTACACAACTATGTGGTCATGAGTCATGATCGACTTCCTACGAAAACTCTTACAAATGAAACTGTAATTGGATCTCTTCTGAAAGATGAAAACTCGGTGCGATTTTTTGTGATATATATTGATACCAGGTTTGTTACTGTAATGCTATGTAATACATTAATACTTTTTTTTCTAACACAATTCTTAATTATTCTGCCCCCAACAAGTTTTAATCCTTGATCCGCCACTGTACGAAATTCAAGGTCTAAACTGACTATTAAAATATTATGAAATAAAAGTAAACACACTCCATATTTTTTACCATTACGTCCTCAAACACTTTAGTTGTATATTTGTAATTTGTAAATTGTAATCACTGCCGTTAAAGATGCATATATGCGTATTATGTGCACAAAGAAAGAGCCCCGGGCCGATATAGGCATATTCCTAGTTACGCCACCATTTCCCCGGATCCTTTGCTTGCGGCGACACATCAATGTGCATGGTAGGGGTGTTTGCCGGTTCGTCTTTGTAGGTTTTGGTTTTATGGTTCGATTTTGGTCGATTTCGGTGTTTAGTCGGTCGGCTTTAGTTTTTAATCTGTCGGTTTTAGCGACTTTTAGAACATGTGAGACCGAGAATCGGACCAGAAAAACTTGAGTCATTTTGGTCAATTTGTATCGGTTTCAGTCGATTTAGCTTGTTTTGGTCACCTTTAGTCGGTCGATTTTGGTTTTGCCCGATTTTAACCCAAAATTGTAAACCGTAAACCGAATAACCGATGAATTAGTCCATTTTGGTCGGTTTCGATTTTGATCGGTCGGTTTTGGGGGATGTTTGGAAAATGATGTTTCAGCCAAAAATGGTGGTTTGACTCCTTTTTAGTGTTTTTAATAAGTGAAAACGTTGTTTGATAAATAGTTGATTGGACCTAACGTTTTTGGACGAAACCGCTATAATGTAAACATTGCAATCAAGTGAAAGTAGTAGTTGGATTTGTCTTTACGAGAGAAAGCAGTCCAGCCCAGCTGGTCGCCGACTCACTCTTCCTTACGGGAGGTCTTGGGTTCGAAACTCAATGGAGTGAGTTTCAACCCCAATTACTTCAGGCCTACCAGCCCCCCTCCCCAAACGCCTCCTGGAGTAAAAAAAAAAAGAAAAAGAAAAAATACTCAACAAAGGTTGTAGAAGGAAATGAACATTCAATGAAAGATGATCTAATTATTTCATTATGAATATTCTTAAGTCTGATATGGAATCAAAAGCATGTACAAGAGCACATGTAGGAAGTAGTTGCTCCAACGTTAAAATATTAGTAAGGCTCTAGAATGAGAAAATTCTATGATTCCTAAGTACTAGTGAAGAAAGGTATGGTACACTATAAGATAACTAACAAACATTTATACATGAGATTCTTAAAATATTTTTTACATTGGAAAGGTGGGACACATAAAATATGGTAATACATATTTGTTAAGACCCCGAAGAACCATTTTAAAAGGTCAACCTGATAGGAAGAGTGACTTAGAGTCTTATACAATGTTATATTATTTTATAGCATTTCGATGTGAAACAAATACTTTAACACGCTCTCTCAGTCCAAACCGGGCCGGATAATTTAAAGGTGTTTAAATTGGTCAAACAGACCCTTAATAAGCTACCCTTAATCATGATTGCTAAACAAGTAGGTAAACCACAACCGGTCTTGTCTATGATACCATGTTAAGACTCGTGATTCCATCTTAAAAGATCAACCTAATAGGAGGAGGAGCTCTGAGTCTTATACAATTTTTACTCTTTTAACATATATTCTGTATATATGGAAATATCAACCCGTGGAAACCAGTCGACCAAATTTCGGCCTCTTCTGGTCTATGTATCTCTTCGGAAGAAGAAAATCACTCTTCATGCTACCAAATTCTTCAATTTAAAGCTAGATTCAATTCAAGCTCTAAACCTCTAGTTTTGTGTTTCAATTAAACTTCTATTGATAGAATGCGAGAATCCTAAATACGATACACAAATCGTGTCCAAACGTCTTTGTGTGATGATTAATGATGAACATAGTATTAAGTGAAAATAAATCTAAAAACTAGAAACACATAATATTAAGTAATAGCATGTGCCTTTAGTGTTATGATTAAACGTGTGTGTCAATTTACTTAGAGATCAATCTAAACATTATAAAAACATTAGTCTTTGTTTTAAATTTTTAATCAATAGCTAAATTTGATTTGGAAGGGTATCACATGAATGCTTAATAGTTACAAAAGGGTTCTAATGCCTTTTCAAATCGCAGAAGCTTATTGCTGAAGTTTGTGTTGTTTATCAGGTAAGTGGTCAATCAGCTCTTGGGGTGATCACAAGATTTAAGTGTGACTTAATCAACCCCTCACACCTGAGTATTGCGTCAGGTTCTTCTGTTGTCGCCATAGCACCACATGAATTGACATTTCCGTGCTGGCTGACATCGGGAATCATGTTGCCAAGATCAATATGGGAAAACCTTTCATGTATGCGATATGGGACTAAAGTATTTAAACACCATTTTCTCGATACATCTTGTGAATGGCTTCCTGCATTGTCTTTATTGATGAAATACCAGACGGAGAGAAGAGTTGCACGCCAGATTGGGTAGTTTGTGTTGTGGTTTACCTGCTTGTTTAGCACCCTTAATCATGGTGTCCAATCATGTTTTATACATTTGTATTAGTGCCCAATTGATATTGATCTATCATATTTAATATTCTCTACGCTTCATAATTTGCTTAATTGTTAAAATATTCTTTTACAAGATGGAATTGTGCATAAATCTAATGTCACACAATATCTTCATTAAAGATGGTCAAACTTGTGTGGAATTTGTGGCGGTTATGAGTATCAGAGTTGATACCAGGGAGATTAAATTTAAAAGAGAGACATGAAGAAGTATTTATCTCACACTCGATTGGTATAAATAATAAATCATTATATAAATTGTGGGTCACGCCTGTTAACAGGTTGACCATCTAGAATAGAACCCAAATTTTTATATGATATCAGAGTTAAGCTTGATTCTGCTTTGATTGTTGGTTAGCAACCAAGATAATTTTAACCGAGTACGAGTCTATTTCTCCCATTTATACACCCTTATTTATGGCATTAGTCAAACTACCTTCTATTGTTTTAATGAGAAAAAGTAATTTTTTAAATCACACTCCCTCCGTCCCACAAAACTCGGCCAAAGTTAACTCGAACATAGATTAATAAAGTAAAAATTGTGTGGTTGAAATTTTTGTATAAGAGAGAGAAATAACTTTAGCCACATATTCCTTACTTTAGCCACATATTCCCTTTTTAGGACGACCAAAAAAGGAAATTTGGCCAAGTTTTAAGGGGAGGTGGAGTAATAGAAATTTAAAAGTACTTTTCTAAAACAGGATATTTGTTAACTAATACTTCGTATATAGTCATGATCTTCCATTATGGGCTCGGTTTGCACACGTTGCAAACTTGGTACTCCAAGACATGAATTACCGGAAAAGACTAGCTTTGGAGGGTGATCTTATGGATGCCCATTTTGGTGCGGTATGGCTTCACCATCCTCATGGAGAAGAGCAATAAGAGGTAGAAGAGCAGGAAGAAGAATATATAAGCAGAAGAACAGGAGGAAGACCCAATTCCTGAAGAAGCAGTGGCAGAAGAAGAGCAGGAGGAAGAAGAGGAGGAAGAAAAGGAGGAAGAGTCACTGACAGAAGCAGAGGGTCCAGGTCAAAAGCCCAGATAGTAGCCCATCAACACCCCTGACGACTGTAGAACGTTAATGATGATTTTGGAGGTGTTGCTAGCGCTGCGACCTACTAATGAAGACCGTCTAACAAGATTTGAGTTGGATAATGAAGTCAGAGCGAGGCTAGAATCTTGAGGAACGCCAGCTCCTGCAGTTGGATATGACAGATCAATTCATGGGCAATACGCTCATAGCTCTCAACCAACGACCCATTCTTCCACACCAAGTTACAAGAGTGTCATTTCATCTTGATGCTAATGAGTCGACAGCCTGGACAGATGAAGTTGAGTGCAAACATGATGACACCGTTAACTGATCACCTCTTGGGGTTTTAAAGAATCTTTTGTAAAGCCTAGATAGTAGTTAACACTTCAGAATTATAGAACGAACTATGAAAAATCTTTACTTATGATTAAAAAAATAGTCAAGATCTATGAAAACAACATAAATTGCTATTAAAAGGTTTGGTGTCCATAATGATAGATAATTCCTCAACATACGGGGATACCAATCCCAAGAAGGTGGGGAGGGAAGATGCCTTGATCATATTGCGATAGAAACACAATAGCTCGGACACTTCTATTCCTTCTCCATAAGATCTCTTTTGCTTCATTTGTAGTAGGATCTCCACGTTAACCATATTAAACCTTAATGATGGATCGCCTAACACGAAATCAGACATTTTCTCTAGACGTTGGCGAACAATAGACTTCCGGTGTTTATCGACAATATCACTTGTGTCTCGGATAAAAAGTAGACACTTCTCTTCCCCTCAACAGAAGCCTTTGTGATGCATCCGGGTGCATAAGCATCCCTAAAAGATGCCACGATTCTACAATAGCTAGACGCTTTTCATAAAGTATTGTCACGTTACATTTGAAATCTTTATTCATCATTTTGGCGAAAAGATGAGAAAAAATATGGTTAACCATGAACATATCAGTTGCTCTCTTGCACACAGTTTTGTTTCTTTCATTCAAGTCTAACGATGATTTCCTATGTAGTCAAACTACCTTCTATTTTAAAACATTGTCACTTTACTGAACTCATTTAATTTATTCACTATAAAGTTTGTCATGACTTACGAATAATCACATCATTTGACAATCACTTTACTTATCAAAATTTCAAGATGAAATTTCAAATTTTACCATTGTATCAGAGCTTGATTAAGTTGTGGTTGGATTGTTGTTTAGCAATGCATCATGATAACTTCAAATTGCATACTAGCTAATAAAACCTAGATCAATTTCATTAATCGAGTTGGGTCGGGCTGATTTTCAGTTTTTGGGTTGGTTTTTCTCACCCCTAGTAGACATTGGCAGGACAATAAATGATAATTGTCAATTGAAGTCATTTGTAATCTATTTTGTGCAATAGTTTTCCAATAAATACTTGTTTTTATGATGGTTTTTGGGTTACACAAAGTCCTCAAGTGCAATCACGTTATTGCAAAATATAAGGATGATGAACCGTGGTTTTAGAAGGAAACTTCATGACTAGTATTGTATTTAAAAATGTTACAGTCAAATATGGAAAAACATAGTAAAGCTATAAATCCATTTTCACCCACACTTGGTGAGTGATATTAACTTCTATAGGAATTTTTCACGTGTCTATCAGTTTACAGAGTGTTTTGATATTAACTTAAATAATTACATAAATTCAAATGTCATAACTAGCTAGTTTGCAACAAAGCGACACGCTTCTAGCTTAATTTTTATAATCAAGTAAGCAGAGTTCATCAAAGTTTAAGTGTGAAATTGATATTGGTATATCAAATTTAATATTCTCTCTGCTTCATAGTTTGCCTGATTGTTAAATGTGATTTTTCTAAAATTGGGTGTGGAAGAAATTTATATTAATTAATAAATGAAGTTTTTCCATTCATTGACACTATTTCAATAGTTGTACATCCATTAGGATCATTATCATTAACAACCATGCCAACCACATCTCCAAGAACAATATTTAGTGGCATAATTTGATTATGGAGATATAGTACCGATATTATATTTAGTAATAATGTTTTGTCATTCCTTCCTTTATTTTGCGACGTAATGTATGAACATATCCACTTTTTATAGATGCATGAACATGATCACCCTGCAATCATGAAAAATATCATTTGATTTTTGTGTAAAATAAATGCATTAAAAATTCGAAATTAAAAAAAAAGTATATCTCTTCATCAATCAGAACCATGTCTAGATAAATTAAGCTTCCTTGCTTTTTGTGATTGATGATATCACAGAGGCGCTTAACATGAACTTTGATTGTCCAGTCGGGCTTGGATATATCAAGTTGTCACATTAGAGAATAATTTCTGCATTTTATTTTATTTTAATCAATCAGGTATAATATATAATTAAAACACTGTATAAACTTACTGTGATGACATTCTTGATATATGCTCTCTAAACAACAGGACTCATCAAACGAAGAAGAAACTCAATCAGAACTAAAAGAATAGTGAAACGATGAAAGCATACATTAATTTACATTCTCTTCCTTTTTATAATATTAAGTGTTCAACTCTATGTAATTTTTATGTTTCTAAATTCTGAATATAGAAACATATTTGACCTACGAATAGTAACATAAAATATGTGATATTAAATATTGAAGATCCATTAATTAAACTTGGATTCCCTTACGTAATATAATATTAAATTCCATTAATTAAACTTTGATGTTTTTTCCACTAATAAACTTTGAATTTTTTTTTTAAAGCAAGTAGGTTTTTGGATTCCATTAATTAAACTTTGATGTTTTTTTTCATTAGTCAAACTTTGATGTTTTTTTTGAAAGGACATAGGTTTGATGTTTCCGTAATTTTGAGGTTGCCAAATTTACCAAATAAGGTGGATTTCTATATCAACATGTAATAAAAATAGAATGTACTAATAAAATAAAAGGTACAAAAACTAATTAAATAATTGTTATATATGATGACATGGCAGAGTTACGTGGCGTGTTATATGCTCTTAAAAAGTTCCTCTTGTGTGTGTGTGTGTGTGTGTGTGTGTGTGTGTGTATATATATATATATATATATATATATATATATATATATATATATATATATATATATATATATATATATATATATATATATATATATTGATTTGTTACAGGAAGGAATTGTGCACAATCTAACGCCACATAATATCTTCATTAATGATGGTCAAAGTTTAATGTAATGTGTGGCTGCTACAAGTATCGGAGTTGATTTATGTTTTCCATAATATATGTATGACTTATTGGCTTAAATAGGACTAAATTACTCCTGAAATTCCTAAATATGACTATGTGTATTTTTATTCCCTAAATAGGATCAAATTACCCATTTACCCTTATTTTTCTTCCTCCTTAATTTCCCTGCGCACACCCTACCCCCTGCATCGCATCATTTTCTTCCTGCGCATCATCACATCTTGTGCACATCATCCCCTCCCCTGCATCATCTCCTCCCTCCCCTTCGCACAGAACAACAAACCTAGAAACCATAGCTAAAACTTCCGCCACGAAGTCCGCCGCCCCCACGAAGTCCGCCGCCTCCACGAAGTCCGCTGCCGCCGGAGACTGAGTTTTCTTCTCCATAGACCGATTTCTCTTCTTTGGTTGGTCTCCCCACCCTTTCTCCTCTTCTTCTGTAGTTCTCTCTTCCCCAAGCTTCGTTTTTTCTTTGATTCTTACAAGATGCCAAGTTATAATCTGAAAATGCCATCAAAATGGCATTCTTAGTGTTAAAAAAAGTTATACTTTCCTTTTAAAATGCCATTAAAATAGCATTCTGATAAAAAACTTGGCATTCATGTTAGTATCGACTAGATCTAGATATGAGGAGGTCAGAGTTGCAGCGGCCAGATAAACTGCGACGATGGTTGGATCTGCCGGAGCAGCGTCTGACATCCGGCGGAGGTTGGATTTGGCCAGATCTCCGGCGAAACCTGCCAGATCTGCATTGTTGACGGCTAGATCTACAACGACGGCCAGTTTTTGAGGTGATAATTGTGTCCGGCGACCGGCGGCGACCTGCGGGGATCGG